GAAGCCCATCCACCCATCTGAATCCAGTCTTCCCACTATTTTCTGAAGTATCAATCTCGAAGTTGTTACAACAGCTCAGTTTGTCCCTGGTCTACTCGGCCATCACCCGTGACTTCGCTCCACCGTTTCATCTGACCCCATCTTTCTCATTGGGACTGTTGAATCGGATGCGGTGGTAGCTGCTGTTGTTCTCCTTCTCTTGGTGCCTAATCTGGTCCCTTTTCTGGTTGGGGGCAAGATGTTTGGGAGTAGGTTGTGTCGAGGACTGGGGCAGCATGGATCATGTGCTCATCATTTCGTACCTCAATTCCTGCTTGAGTGCACAACTCTATAATGAGATGTGGGAACGAAAACTACCTTGCCTTGTTGGCCTACATGCTGAATGTTGTTCAAGATAATTTGTCCCACTTCCATTCTCTTTTCTGTGGCAATAGAATCAACAAAAGTGCCTTCTTATACTTCACTGTACTGTAGTGCGTTTTTGGCATCATCCTCGCACTGATAATACTACCACAACCGAGCCATCGGTGTCAAATTAGTTTCCTTAATGCTTTTCTTGCCCTTTTTTGAAACTTCCCAAGTGGTTTCTGTTTTGTAATGACCGGAAGAATAATATCATCCTTAACTTTGTCTTCCTAAAATCTGCATACTCATCCTGGTCAAGGTGAGGTAAGCCATAGAAATCATTGATGACCTTTGCCATAAATACCACATCAGTACCCTCACAAAAACAACCCCCTCATCACATTCAGGGAGGTTGGCATAAAACTCTCTCACCATGGTTCCACAGCCGCAGTGCAGGTTCATCATAAAGTCCTCCAAACTTCTCCCTAGACTCCACTCATCAGCCTAGTTTGCAGTCAGTGCACGCTCAGGGATAAATCCCTTGTCTTTCCTTTTGGCGTGTTGCCTCATAGTTTTTCGAGCCTTTTCATTTACAACCGGTCATCTACTTTTTTTCCTTTTCCCTTGCCCTAGAGGTACCTTGACTTTCAGCGGCATTTTCCCAAAACTACACTTCAACTCAACAATGCAACCCAAAAATTCAAACCAAGTGTCCTACGCACCAATTCAATCCTGCAAAAATGAGAACACTTCCAAAAATTCGCACTTAGCCCCCAAACTATGATTTTTCCAAATTCAACCAAACACTCCAAAATTCCACACTCCTCAATATCACATAATGCACAATCAACCCTTCCTCAAACAAAATCAACACTCACAGCACAAAAATTTCACAACTCAACCAACAATCAACATTTCAGATCTTCAAATCAAAACTCGAAATTTTTGAGATAAAATGCTTAGAGAACATGAAATCTTACCCCAACTAAGGATATTCGCCCCAATTAAGCAAAATCAGCCTAGATTGCAAAACCCCCAATTTCTTGAACTAAAATTTCGTGAATTTTTCACAAAAATTGTTGTTGAAATGAGTTGGTTTGGTGTTTAGGAGGGTTAAAGAGTGAGAAAATTTGCTTGGAAGTCACCGGGATAGCTCTGGATTGAATGTTGGAAAATTTTTCTTTGAATTGCGCTTGAGAGGTTGCAAAAAAATGAGTTTCGCGTTGATTTATACACAGCGTTTTTCATCATGGCAAAGTTCTTCATTCAACCCTAATTTCAACCCAAGTTTTGCCGCGTGTGAAACTTTACCGAAGTACAGCGTTGCGGCGACGAACACTCTTTGCCGCCCAAGTTCCCTTAGTCAATTTTGCCCATATTTCTCTCACCGCGGTGAAACATTACCGAGAAATGGTCGCGGCTGATAATCCTGGATTATTAGTTTTCATGAGTCTTTTTATTCAGATTTCAGGTACTTTTGGGTGCATTTTGACCTGATTGTTGTTTATTCTTTACATTTTGTGTTTCAGGTTAAAATGGACATTTGTGTCAAATAAGGGCAAAATTGAAGTTTTTGACTCAAAAGTTAGCGGATCTCAGAAGTTAAGAGGTTCGGAAATAGGATAAAGCACGATGAGGCTTGTTTAAAAGGGAGAGCACACCGAGAATCGAAGAGAAAGCAAAGAACAAGCAGAGTCAGTTCTTATTTTAGAACCTTCAAGTTGCTTCGCCCCGGCGAAGATTTGTTCTTCGTCGTAGTGAAGTACGGCAGAAAAGAACAAGTCTGAGGCTTTCTTCGCCGCGGCGACAGTCGTGATTTTCAGTTTTGTAAACGCACAGTTTTACGTTGTGCGTATTTTCTGAGAAATTTAGGGCGAGTAAAAGAAAACTTAACCTCTTTGCCCAAGGGCGTGCAGGAAGTAGGGTTAGCAACTTTTACATTATTTTTGGATTAAACTTAGAGATTTTTTAGCAATTGAAAGAGGTGAAGATCTGAATTTGACCAGAGGATTCATCATTGGGGAGATTTCTTACCTCTCTCTACTTTTCATTATGTTAACTTGATTATTTTCGTTTTTCTTAATTGTAGTGTTAATTTAGCTATGAACTAACTCATTTTGGGTTAGGGTTTTGACTGTAATTCAGATTTCTAATGGGTTAATTATTATCACGTTATATTCATATGCACTGTGTTGATTGTTGTGTTTACTCTGATTTTTAATGCTTTACGTGAACATGATGAGATTGAGAAATGAATCATGTTAGGCTTCTTGGGTAATCACCATTATAGTATTGGATACGAGAGGTAGATTCAAGAATTAATGAAATCATTATAGGATTCTTATGCTTAATGAGTTTGGAATTGTTAACCTTCAATTTGTTGGGTGTGGAAGGTTAAAAAAGAAGAATAGGAAAACATAGCTTGAGAAGGTATGTTTAACACCTTCGTGAGTTCGGTTTACAATCAATGCATATGAATGTGAATGTAGTGTAATTTTTAGGTTTAACCCATAAAATCCGAATGAAGTCAAAACCCTACCCATTTTTACTTGAATTGTTTTTATGAAATTTTTATCTTGCAATCTTTAGTTAAATTTTAGTTTAATAGTTATTGTTCAGATTAGTTTTAATTAGCTCCCATCAATCCAAAGATTTCGATTGCTCTAACTTGATAACAGTAGAATACTTAGTGGTTAGCTAACAATCCTCGTGGGAACGATCTCTACTCATCATTATATTACTTGTGCGATTAGTATACTTGCTACATATTGCATGTTGTAGGAAACACGCACCAAGTTTTTGGCACCGTTGCCGGGGAATGTTTTAAGTTAACATTGAGTCTTTCTATAGTTAGCTAGATTGGAGTTTTAATTTTTATTTTATTTTTTAAAATTTTCAGTTGGTGTGATCTCACTTTCCTTCATTTCTGGTTTTGCAGTTTATGCGAAGAACGAGACGTCAACCAGTGATCCCTATTGACCTTGAGCTTTAGAGGACCATTAGACGACATAACAGAGAGAGAAGAGAAAAAGAGGATTTAGTTGTAAAAGCAGAAGAAATAGTTGTTGAAATGGCTGAACCAGAAAACAGGACACTGAGAGAATTTTCAGTTCCCACAGTGAATGGTAATGGGTCGAGCATTACTAGACCGACAGTGCAAGCAAACAACTTTGAGATCAAGCCGGTTATCATCCAGATGATCCAGCAGTCGGTTAGGTTCAATGGTGACTTGAAGGAAGATCCGAATCAGCACATTGCAAATTTCTTGGAAATTTGTGACACCTTCAAGTCAAATGGAGTGTTGGATGACGCTATTAGGCTGTGATTATTCCCATTCTCATTGGGAGATAAAGCCAAGGGGTGGTTAATGGCATTACCACCGGGAACTATAACAACTTGGGATGATCTAGCGCAGAAATTCCTTACCAAGTTCTTTCCGCTAGCTAAATCAGCAAAATTGAGAAATGATGTCACATCAGTTCTATAGGATGATTCCGAGTCATTGTATGAGGCTTGGGATAGATACAAGGAGTTAATGAGGAAATGCCCACACCATGGTTTACCAGTTTGGCTTCAAGTCCAAACGTTCTACAGTGGATTAATGAGTAATGTACAAACCATGGTAGATGTAGCTTCAGGAGGGGCTTTGCAGAATAAGACACCAGAAGAGGCCTATGAGTTGCTTGAGGTGCTGGCAAGCAACAACTATCAAAGACCAAATGAGAGAGCCACAACAAGGAAATCTTCGGGTCTTCATGAAGTTGATGCATTCACAGCCATCTCAACTCAACTCACGGCACTTCAGAAATAGTTGGGAACTATGTAGGTAAACTCTATTCAAGCACCTCAACTAATGTGTGATTTTTGTGCAGGGAATCATGTGAGCAGCGAGTGTCAAGTTGGGAACACATTGGTTCGTCATCTTCATCAACGGAGCAAGTGAACTACTTGGCGGGTAATCAGAGACAACCAAACAACCATACTCCAACACATACAACCCGGGGTGGAGAAATCATCCGAACCTAGCTTGGGGAAATCAGAACCAGTAAAATAACCAATGTAACCAGAGGAATGTTCCAAATAACCAACCAGGGGTGAATAACCAACCAGGAGATCCAAGAGTGACAAAGTTGGAAGATATGTTTGGGAAATTCATGCAGGAGACCACAAGATTTATGAGTGAGACGAGGACGAGTTTTAGAAATCAAGGGGTGTCAATTCGGAGTCTTGAGGTATAGGTGGGCCAATTGGCCGAGAAATTGAATGAGAGACCGCAGGGTTCCTTACCAAGTAATACAGTGACAACCCACATGAGCAAGCTAATGCCATCACTTTAAGAAGTCGGACAGTTTTGGAAGACATAGAGCGAAATACTAAGAAGGTTGAGCAACCCGGAAAGGAAGAGTCGGATGAAGAAATTGATGAAGAGATAGTTGTTGAAGAGAAACCAAGTGGTTTGGACGAAGAAGAAAAGAAACAGAATGAAAGGCAAAAGAAGAAGGAGAAATTGCCATTCCCCGAGATACCACCAGAGTTGGCACATCACACCCCACCTGTGCCTTTTCCTCAGAGATTGAAGAAAAAGAATCAGGATAAGCAATTTTCAAAGTTTATTGAAATTTTTAAAAAATTGCACATTAATATTCCTTTTGCAGATGCCGAGCTATGCAAAGTTCCTCAAGGAGATCTTATCGAACAAAAGGAAGCTAGATGATGAGGAAATGGTGATGCTAACAGAGGAGTGTAGTGCCATCCTCCAGAAGAAATTACCTCCAAAGCTCAAAGATCCAGGGAGTTTTACTATTCCTTGTATTATAGGAAATATTACATTTGATCGTGTTTTGTGTGATCTAGGAGCTAGTATTAATTTGATGCCCTTTTCTGTTTTCAGGAGATTGGGAATTGGTGAGGTGAAGCCAACGACCATGTCGTTGCAACTAACGGATAGATCAATACAACATCTGAGGGCGATAGTAGAGGATGTGTTGGTGAAGGTGGGGAAGATAATTTTTCCAGCAGATTTTGTGGTGTTGGACATGGAAGAGGATAAGGAAATTCCTCTGATTTTAGGCCGACCATTCTTGGCCACGGAGAGAGCACTAATTGATGTACAGGAAGGAAAGTTACTATTGCGAGTTCAAGATGAAATAGTGACTTTTAATGTCTTTGAGGCGATGAAGTTTCCCGCTGAAACGGATTCATGTTTTAGTGTAGATGTGGTGGACAAATTGGTTGAGGAATCCATGGAAGAAAACACCCCACAGTTACCTCTAGAAGTTTGTATAGCTAAATCAAAAACAATAGAGGTAGAAGAGTCAGAGAGGAATGATTGTGCTAGGATGTTAGAAGCACTTCAATCGATTGATGAGAGTCAGGATGTAGAATTTGAGGAGTTTGATTTTGACAAAGAGAATGAGAAGGAGAAAAATGAAGAACCTCTAAAGCTTGAATTGAAACCTTTACCTTCCAATCTCAAATATGCTTATCTAGGGGACTCAGAAACTTTTTCGGTGATTATTAGTTCAGATTTGAGTACATTAGAGGAAGAGCGGTTGATTAGGGTGTTGAGGGAACATAGGCTAGCAATTGGATGGACAATCTCGGACATTAGAGGTATCTGGCCATCATTTTGCATGCATAAGATACTCATGGAGGATGATTTTAAGCCTAGGGTACCACAACGGAGATTGAATCCTTCGATGAAGGAAGTAGTGAGAAAGGAGGTGGTAAAACTCTTAGATGCCGGGATCATTTATCCCATTTCTGATAGCCCATGGGTGAGCCCGGTACAAGTGGTTCCGAAGAAGGGAGGTATCACTATGGTGAAAAATAAGAGTAATAAGTTGATACCAACGAGGACGGTGACGGTGACGGGCTGGAAAGTATGCATCGATTACCATAAGTTCAATGAGGCGACAAAGAAGGATCACTTTCCATTATCTTTCATTGATCAGATGTTGGAGAGATTGGCAGGACATGCCTATTATTGTTTCCTAGATGGGTATTCAGGATATAATCAAATTGCCATCACTCTTGAGGATCAAGAGAAAACGACCTTCACTTGCCCCTATGGCACCTTTGCCTACCAAAGGATGCCTTTTGGATTATGCAATGCACCAGCAACATTTCAAAGATGCATGATGTCAATCTTTGGGGACATGGTGGAACGGTTTATAGAAGTCTTCATGGATGATTCTCAGTTTTTGGTTCATCATTCAAAAGCTGTCTAACTAATCTTTTTTTTGTTTTGCAGCGATGTAAGGAGACGAACTTGGTGCTTAATTAGGAGAAGTGTCACTTCATGGTCCAAGAGGGAATAGTGCTCGGGCATAAGATCTCCAAGGATGGAATTGAAGTTGATTGAGCAAAGACAGAGGTGATCGAGAAGCTGCCACCACCATCGAATGTCAAAGCTGTTCGAAGTTTCCTGGGGCATGCGGGGTTTTACAGACGTTTCATCAAGGATTTTTCTAAGATTTCTAAACCCCTTTGCAATTTATTAAATAAAGATGTTGTTTTTAAATTTAACAATGATTGCATGCATGCCTTTATAACTCTGAAAAGATTATTAGTATCTGCACCTATTATTGCAGTTCCCGATTGGGGACTACCCTTCGAATTGATGTGTGATGCTAGTGACTTTGCTTTAGGGGTAGTTTTAGGATAGAGGAAAAACAAAGTGTTGCATGTAATTCAGTATGCTAGTAAAACACTCGTTGATGCACAATTGAATTACACCACCACTGAAAAGGAATTGTTGGCTGTAGTTTTTGCTTTTGACAAGTTTCGTTCTTATTTGTTAGGTGCAAAGGTGATCGTCTACACGTACCATTTAGCACTCCAGCACCTATTGGTAAAACAAGAAGCAAAACCTCGGCTGATAAGATGGATATTACTACTATAGGAGTTCGAGTTGGAAATTCGAGATAAGAAGGGGTCGAAAAATTTGGTGGTTGATCACTTGTCGAGAATCGAGAGACCAATCAAGGGAATTGAGGAGGAGATGCCAATTACAGAAACATTCCCGGATGAGAAGTTGATGAGAGTGGAAGAAGCACCATGGTATGCGGATTTTGCAAACTATTTGTCGTCAAGGGTGCTCCCAAGTGGTATTACTTATCAACAAAAGAGAAACTTTTTCTCAGATTTGAAGTACTACTTTTGGGAAGAACCATTTCTATACAGACACTATACTGATCAAATGATACGGAGAAGTGTCCCGGAGGTAGAGATGGAGAGCATTCTAAGGCATTGTCATGAGAAGGAAGTAGGTGGCCATTTTGGGGGAGCTAGAACAGTAGCCAAGGTTTTACAATCGGGATTTTATTGGCCGACCCTCTTTAGGGATTCCTTCCGGATGATTCAAGAGTGCGACCAATGTCAACGGACGGGTAATATTTCAAAAAGAGATGAGATACCGTTGAACAACATCCTAGTGGTTGAACTCTTTGATGTGTGGGGGATAGATTTCATGGGTCCATTTCCAAGTTCTTTTGGGAACACGTTTATCTTGGTAGCGGTGGATTACGTGTCGAAGTGGGTTGAGGCAGTTGCATTGCCGACTAATGATGCTAGGGTAGTGATTAAGTTTGTAAGGAAGAATATTTTCTCAATGTTTGGGGTACCACGAGCAATCATTAGTGATGGAGGATCTTATTTTTGCAATAGGCAAATAGATGCACTGTTGAGCAAATATGGAGTGACACATAGAGTTGCAACACCGTACCATCCACAAACGAGCGGGGAAGTGGAACTGTCAAATAGAGAACTTAAGGGGATTCTAGAAAAGACAGTTAATGTATCTCGGAAAGATTGGTCATGGAAGCTGGATGATGCGCTGTGGGCATACCGAACCGCTTTCAAGACTCCGATCGGAATGTCTCCATTTAAAATGGTTTATGGGAAAGTGTGCCACTTGCCAGTTGAACTTGAGCATAAGGCATATTGGGCAGTCAAGCAGCTAAACATGGACTTAAAAGTTGCTGGAGAAGAAAGGATGCTGACTTTGAACGAACTCGATGAGTTTCGTCTCGAAGCATATGAAAATGCCCGGATCTATAAGGAGAGGACAAAAAGGTGGCATGACAAGCATATCCGGAGAAAGGAATTTGAAGTAGGGCAGAAGGTGTTGTTGTTCAACTCCAGAATTAGGCTTTTTCCCAGAAAACTTAAGTCTAGATGGTCCGGACCATTCACTATTAAGAGGATTTACGCATCCGGAGCAGTGGAAGTTACACATGAAGATAAAGGCACATTCATGGTTAATGGACAGAGATTGAAGCCATACATTGATGGGGTGATGAGTTGCAATTCCATCCCAATCCGGCTTGACATCCCAACTTAAGAGATTGAGAGATTCAAGCTATCGACTATAAACAAGCGCTTCTTGGGAGGCAACCCAAGTATCTTTAATTGTTTTGTTTTTCATTTCAGTTTTGTTTTGAATTTGTTTGATTTCATTTTGAGTTTGTATGAGTTTTAATGTGTGTGTTTTTGGGTGTTTTAGGTAAAGTTTTCATTAAATAAAATGAATCAAAAAGTCTTGGACTTCGCCGCGGCGAAGAATACTTCTTCGCTGGGGCGAAGAGACCTTGAAAAAACGTTGATAGATGCTGGACAATTTCGCCGAGGCGAAGAAAGAAAAAAAAAATTTGTGAAAATTTTCCTAAGGCATTTCACCGCGGCGAAGTAAGCCTTGTGCTCTCGGGAAGTTTTCACCCCGGCGAAGAAAATTTCTTCGCCGTGGCGAAACCTGGAAAATTTTTAGGGTTTATAAACGAAGAACGTCGCCGCAGCGAAGTTTCTTCTTCGTCGCGGCGACGAAGCTTTTCTATAAATACTCACTTTTTCTTCTTCATTCTTCACGCCGCCTTGCATTTTCACTTGAGAGAAAAATTTTCAAACTTCCATCTTTTGCTTCCCTAGTGTTTTTCCAACCAATTTCCTTACTCCATAACATTCCTAAACACCAAAACAACCCATTTCAACAACAATTTTCGCGAAAATTTTATGAAAATTTTTGGATCAAAAGTTTGCGGATTTTCTATCTGAGTTGTTTCAGGTTCAATTGGTGGCTAATACTCCTTCATTTTGGTAAGATCTCGAATACCCAAAGTTTTTTATTGCAAAATTTCAAGTTTTAGTTTATAGATCTGAAGATTGTTGTTACGATTGAATTGTGAAATTTGGGTAAGATTTTGAGCATTGATTGTGTTTGAAGAAGAGTAGTTGTGCATTAACTGAGTGTTAGGAGTGTGGGTTTTGAATTTTTGGAGTGTTTGTGTTAAATTGAAAATTTGAAGTTGGGGGGTGAATTGCGAATTTTTGGAAGTGTTGGTTTTTTTTTTTTTTTTTTTTTGATTGGGGTGTCCGAGTCAACTTATGTATACCTTAACTAATCTTTTTAGAACCCTGAAACTACCGGTTAGGTAGTGGCAGATCCAAAAAAATTTTTGTGTAGGATTGAAATGACTGCGCAAAACAACTAGGTCTGAATTATTGATTATTGGGTTTTCATTATAGATTAAGGTTAAATTGTGAACAATGGCCCCGAGAGTTAAACAACCATACATGGGCAAGGGTAAGAGTAAGGGTAAGAATATTGACAACCGATTTGTTAATGATGAAGCCCGCAAAAGGTATGAGGCGGTAATCCAAAGGAAGGATAAGGGTATTATCCCAGAGTGCGGTTTAACTGCTACTCAGGCCATTGATTGGAGTAGAGGGAGACGTTGGGACATGTTTATGAGAGCTCCTGAGCTAGCAGCTGTTGAGCCGCTAGTAAGGGAGTTCTATGCCAATCTCCCAGAGTGTAAGGAAGAGACTGTGTTTGTAAGAGGGGAGGATGTGCCATTTATGGACAGGGTGATCAATCAGTTTTACAACCTGCCTAACCTTGGTCAGGATGAATACATAAGGTTTAAGAGGTCAAAATTTGAGGACAGTATCATCCTTCCAGTTATTGCAAAACCAGGGGCAGAGTGGGAAGTGTCAAAGAAACAAAAGAAGACACTCAAGGGAAGGCAGTTGACACCGATGGCTCGGTTGTGGCAATATTTTGTCTGTGCGAAACTAATTCCGGAATCGTACTACAGCACCGTGACTCACGAGAAGACAGTTTTGCTCTACTCTATTGCCACAGGGAAGAGTATTGATGTGGGAGACATAATTTTCAACATCATCAAGCTATCATCCAAAACGGGGCGAACTAGTTACTGTTTCCCACATCTTATCACAACCTTATGCCTTACCGCCGGAGTCCAAGTTCAGGATGACGAGTGCCGAATTCATGCTGCCCCAATTCTAGATTCAGAGTATTACAGGAAGCACTTTGACCGTCAAGAAGCTGCGCAACCAAGAGTAGGGGCAAAAAGGCAGCGAACAGGCCTTACCACATCATCCAGCTCCACAGCTACCCAGAGAAAGATGATGCAGCAGATGATGGGTTTAATGAAATATATGAAAAGACGTCAGGATTGGGCGGTGGAGCAGACTCAGATGATGCATGAGCTGCTGAGGAACAGCTTTAAGGAGCTCAATGTTGACACTTTAGCATACCAATTGGCCGATTGGAACTCAGATGAGTACATGGACTCCGAGGAAGAAGAGGAAGAGGAGGAAGATGAGGAAACAGAGGAACAAGAAGACTGAGCTGGAGCACCTATTTTTATTTGTTTTGTTTTGTTTAATTGTTTTCATTTGGTTTGGTTGTTCATTCTAAACATTAAACTCATTTTTATTTTGGTTTTGGATTTTGTTTAGTTGTTTAGTTGTTGCTTTTAATTTGTAGTTGTTGAAAGGACGAGAATAGGTTGTAATATTTTCAAGTTAATTGTGAATTTGCGCTAACATAAGGGACACCACAGTGTCAATTGTTTTGATAGATTTGGGTGATGAAAAGTCCGAGACCGGGTGTTCATTGTGGAGCGACATTTCACGGATTAACCAGGGAGCATTTTCATACCTTTGTTGTTTTTATTATTCTCTATTCCTGATTAATGCATTAGGGAACATTTGGGACAATGTCCGGTTTAGTTTGGGGGTAGGGAAATAGAAAAAAAAACCTAATTTAAGGGGTATATTGGCTGGAAACCCGTGACTGCCTTAAAAACTGTCTAGCAGTACTTGGCGACTTCTGGTATAACAACGCCACATACACCTTAAACTGAAAAAAAAAATAATAATAATAATTTGTTGTAGTTATTTTTCTTTAGTTTGTTTGTTTTTGCCAATGATGAAGTGTATAATTCAATGATAAGAATAGGGGTGTTGAAATTTTATTGTTGAGAAATGTTAAGCATTGCTTCAAGTTTATCTTATTGACTGGATTTTGATTGAGGTCTGTCGAGTGGTTCAGCCACGATTTTCATTTATTTCGGCATGCTTAGATTCATTTTATATGATTAGGCGAAGTTTGATAATGTTGGTGGACTCTAGAACCTAGTAGAGAAGTGCTTGAGGCAAAATTCTAGGGTTAGACATGGTTGAGAAGATGATTTAGGCATTCTTTTGGGAACGTTTGAGCCTTTCTAGCCGACCCAAAATGAAATTGTCCCTAGTCACCCGTTTGAGCCGAATAAACCAGTATTGCTTTATTTCTTTTTGCAAACCGAAAATTGTCTGATCCTGTTACCCTAAACACTTTATCGTACCCTTAGGAGAATTCAGCCGTAGTGCAAACACAAAGAATGGAATAAGAGTTGTACGAATAAGCCAAACGAATAGTTTGGGGGTTGTGAGAAGGGCAATAAAAATAAAAAGAGGTAGTTCACCTCAATTCACGTTATATTCAAAAAAAAAAATTTATATTTGTTTTTAGCCGGGTTTAAAGGTATATCGGCTGGAAACCAGTAACTGCCTTAAAAACTGCATAGCAGTACTTGGCGACCTCAGGTTTAACAATGCCACGTACACCTTAAACCCATGCATTT